ATTTCCCTTCTCACTTTTGGAGTACATAGAACCCCCAAGTCCATATTTTAAAGCAGGTATATAACATTTTTTTAACTTAAACTTTAACCATAATCATGGAGAGCTGGATTCTGTTTTAAGTCAGTTGTGCTTTTATTTGCTCATTTGGATTCTGTTACCTGGGAATATTACTTCCTTGGTAACTGGGAAATCTAAACAACAGCTCTGTTCCTCACCAATATTTCATCATTAATGTAATCCAAAAGAATATTTAATAGCACAAACCAAAAAGTATAGTAATTATATTAAAAAACCAAAAATCAAAGTGGTTCCAAAGTCCTTCCCCAAAGTCATACATGTCCTTGTAGAGATATTATTCTGAGTAGGGTTTCATCTCCAGTCCTTAGCCCTGTGCTAAAATTATCCCTTTTCTCATCTTTCCTGCAAACTAAAATATGCATAAAGGGATGTGGCCTAGCATTATCCTCTGAATATACATCTGGATGTAAGTTGCTTAAATAATTATCTGCTTCATATAAACACATCCTGCAGAGAGTTTCACCTGGTCTTGTTACTGTTTGTGGCCATTTCTTATGTAAGTAAAACCAACCAGCTATTTTCCATTCAGAGATTCATTTCTTCGATAAATATTTGTTAAGCATCTGGTGTATTCTTGGCATCCTAATAAGATCTGGGAATACTTTGGTAAGACAGAAAGATACAATTTCTTTCCTTTCAGAGCATTTAATCCAGCAGGGAGACAGGCAATTAAATAACTAAATTCACCTTGCTACTTGCCATGATCCAGAAATTAAGGACTATGAGAGAACACATAACAGAGATACCTAATAACTCCCAAAGGAAGTTACTTTTAAACTGGGCACTGAAGACTGAGTAGGAAGATAACACAGCCCTACTTTATTGTTACAGTTGTGTTTGGGAATTCTACCTTATTTTTCAACAAAGGTGTTCACAAAAGAATATTGCAAAATTTAGAAACTTTACATTCAGAAATTTTAAGTCTTTTGATCAGGGATTTGTTTGCCATGTCTAGATTCTTGTGTTTCCTAGATCATAGTCTTAATAGCAGAATTAAATTTCTGCTGTGGCTGTGGTTTCACAAAGAAGAGTCACTATCTTAGAATTATCTAAGGTAGCATTATGTGTGAGAAACTAGAGATCTATCCTAGTTCCAATGAAACATAATTTCTAGGGCCATGGGAATGGTACTTAAATTTGCATGCTCTAAAAACACTTACTACCTTCCAACATTGAATGTGTATTCAGAATCTCCCTCAATTTTCTTCTAATTATCTCAAAATGGAGTATAGCCTTTTTGGGGACAACTATCCTTAGCTGTCCAATGCCAAAGTCTGACCTTGATTATTTCCCTATTACATTACCTAAGGCATTATGTTAGTATATAAGCATTTTTGGGAACTAAAATGACACATGCCTAGGGCAATCACCAGTTATTGGAGCCCTCATACTTGGGAGAAGTAGGAATTAGAAATGTCAATGTTCAAAATTCCTGCTTTGCCTATCTAGAATTGTGTATTTTTATCTAGAAAAAGAGAACCACAGTCACTGTAAGTGACTAGCCTCTGGCCAACTCAGAAAATTGGGGCAAAGTTTATCAAAGTACCCTAAAGTTTTGACCCAACATCCAATGTTTTACCAATTAAATCACTTTAATGCCAAAGATTATTGCATAAAACTATTGCATTCCTTGGGATAAGACTAGCCTGCTGTAGAAATAGCACCCTATGTTAAGTCAGTGGCTAAAGGAAGATTTGAGCTTATTTCTTTCACATCTTAATACCCATATTGGTGCTCCAAGTTAGTGGGGGAGTCTGCATTCCACATGTATTTTTGTTGTTGTTTTGCTTATTTTGTGGTGCTGGAGATTAAAAACAGACATTTACATTGAGCTACATTCCCAACCCTTTTTAATTTTTCTTTTTAAATTTTAAGACAAATTTATCCTAAGTTTCCCAGGCTGAGGTTGAATTTGTGATCCTCCTGTCTCATCATGCTAGGATTACAGTTTTAAGTTACCATCCTGGGGTTCCACATGGCTTTTTAAGTGACAAGGTTCTATTTAATTGCTTAAATAACTTTAATTTGCCTCTCCTTTCCCTAGGACATTCTACTTATTGGAATGGTAAATGGGCTTGTTATAGGTTCCAGTTAGTGGAAAAGAGAAGAATAACATTGAGAAAGCTCAAGAAATGCATACATCACTTCTATTCATGTTTCTCAAGTGAAAACATAGTTTCATGGTTACAGATAACTAACACTGCAAGTCTGAAATATAATGTTTGGAAAGTGACCACATGCCCAATTTGAATTACATTAATCTAGAAAAAGTGAAGAATGGGCATTGTTGTATGACTAGCAGTCTCCATAGGTGTACTTTAGAAATGTAAACTGAACAATAATGTTTTTTGTCTGGAAGAGATTATTACCTCTGAAAACAAGTGCAAGGTTTTTTTTGTAAGCATAGGAATTTGCTAGTTTAGTAAGATATGAGCCATATTTCCCTTTGGAAAATAAGTCTGTGTAAGTTATTTATTGAGCTTAACAAATACCCTAACTTTTAGAGGCTTGAGGAAAGTGTCAGCAAACTTTTTCTGTAGAAGGGAAGATAGCAAGTATTTTAGACTTTTCAGGCTATACCATCTCTGTTGAAACTATGCAACTCTGCTACTGTAGTGTCAAAATAGTCTTAGACAATACATAAACAAATGAGGGTGGATGTGTCCTAAATAAAACTTTATTTTCCAAATCTCTAATGGTCCATCAGCTGTACATGGTAACCTTTGCTTTAAAATAACACTTTTCTATGCTTTACGTTTTCTTGTGAGTCTGTGGGTGGTATCAGTTAGGAGCAGGTCATCTAAAGCTGGAATGCTCTAAAATGCCCTCATTCACTTATCTGGTATCTGGTCCAAGGGCACTTGGCTGCTATTGATCCTTTGTATGCAAAATCCTCTCTCCTTTTCCCTGTGCTAGTTCAAGGTCCTTCCAATGGTGGTTTCAGTGCAGCAAAGACAGCTGCCCTAATATGTATGTTCTTATTAAACTTTACTTTCATCAGGTTTGCTGATGTTACATTAGTTAAATTGTGTCACCTACCAAGGCCCAAATTGAAGTGAGAGAGAAATAAACTTTAGCTCTTGATGAATAGAACAATAAAGGTCATATTGCAAAGATATGTGCATATAGGAATAGCAGAAATTATTTTTATCTTTATAAACAACCTATCACAAAGTCTTTGGAGTAGCAAATGTCTTTACAATTCAATTTAACTGCAGTAATTTCTTCCAATACTACAAAATTACTTAAATAGATTTAAAAAATATTTCTGACAATAAAACAGTTTTCACACTTTGTAAAGTATTTCAGAAAATATGTATATTTAACTTATTTTTAAATATTACAAGGAATTATATTCCAAGGCTAGAAGCAAAACAAGGGTCTTAAGAATAAATAATCCATATTGAAGACAAATTAGATGAAAGAGTTTTTAGCTAAGCAACTAACCAGTGTGATTTATAGACAGTTCAATCTTTCCCTAAATTCCTTATTTCCTGCAGTGCCTACCTTTAAAGTTTCAAGTTATACATACTGCCTGTCATCATGATAGACACAGTGGCCTCTGGCTCAGAATATTTTATTAGAGCTCTCTGAACAGCAGGATACTGTGTATAGCAAGTAGCAGACCTCACATTAGCTCACCAAGTTTTGAAGAACGAAGCCATGGATTTCCCCTAATTTGTGGAAGTGAGTTAAAAAAAAAAAGATGCTCTTGAAAAAAAATATTTCACTTTAGAAAACATAAAAGTTTTTATAATGTAATCATATAGAAGAAATTTACTATACAAGTATTAATAATTGTGTATTTTCTTTATAAATTCTAATAATAGGTGAAAACAAGATAATTTTTGCAAGTCCTGCTCTCCACACATTTTGATGAATTAATTGAAATGCTTTGTAGTGTGTTATAAATGGAAAATCATTTGATGTTCTATATAATTGGCTGAATTAAATTATTATAGTGCTACTGTTATTGGTATTTTTCATATACCAAGAATCACATAAAATAGATCATCCATTGAAAGGCCTAAGGAATCTTATGTGGAGCTATCATATGTCTTTTTTTTTCAGAAGAAAACAAAACTCATAAAGTTTACCAGTAGTATGCTGGTAACTGGCACATGAGGAATAGAGCCCTGATATGCCTTAGTTAGGGTTGGTCAATTTTGATGGTATAAAATTCTCATCTTGGCTTATTTCTGTCTACCATCATGATATCACTGAACATGATATTGGAAAAAGATTCATATAATCAGCTATTTTGAGCCAGTGGGAGGTGGCTCTGATACACTCCTGCCAAGGTTACAAACATAATAGGAATTAGGAGAACCAGAATTGGCGCTCTTAGTTGTCTATAAAGTCCATCCTCTCAACTAACACACAATAATGCTTTCCTGACCCAATAAACTATTCAATTGACAAGTCATAAAAATCATGAAATGTCAGTAATATCTTTAATTCCAGGGACATAATGTTTCCTTATTCTATTTTTGAAATTAATACAGGAAATATTCAGTCAGACTTATGGAAACTGTCACATTACAAATCCAGGAAACCTTTTATACTTCTCATTACATTTACATTATTCTTTATTTTTTATTCTTATCTTAAGCTTTGTAATTTTTCTTAGAGTTGCTTCTTAATCATATTTCATTGCTACATTTCTTCCTAAAATCTTTACACTTAGCTTCCAACAGCTTTCTTTGCTGTTTCAGATTGTTCTCTTCTTCTCCTCCTTCTCTTTTTTTCATCTTATATTGGTCTTTCTTACCTTACAGCATAACTTTCATAATTTCACCCTGGTCTTCCAACATGAACAGAAGTCTTGCTGCTAAAATACGGCAGATTCATATTTTAAGAATTATTTACCTTGTGTCAACCAGAGTTTCCTCATCTGGAAATGAGGCTAATATAGTACATACCTTGCATTATATGAGTTGTTGATCAATTGAAAAAAAAAAGCCTAAAACCATACACTACAGAAGAAGCAAAAATGAAGGACATGGCAGAAAGATGATCCTTTGAGAATGGAAGATATCGAAATTATTTGATCTTGATGAAGAGTACCATTTGATGTTTGATGGGAGCACACTAAAAATCTGGAAACAATAGAACTTTTGAGAGTAACAGCATTTTTTTCACAAGAAAAAAATAAAATTATGTTTTAGTATTTTCTTTATATAACATTATACACTAAGAACTTTCATCTTTTGTTAAAATTAACTAAGGTATTAATAAATAATGTTCACAACTGTCATGGACTGAGAGAATGACAAATGAGATATTTTTTCCAAATAATGTTATATGTGTTAAGCTTAAGGAATCAAGGAAACACTTTTTCACTTTGGTTTGAATGTCTAGCTGTTTGACTTAAAGGAAACATAAAAGCATACCTGTGATGATAGAACAAAGCATGTTTAAACTATAGAGCAAATGAAGAGTTTTGAAGTTCATCACAATTTTCATAACTTCTTCAAAAGTTTGAATTGGATACCCAGCAAAATTCTTCACATACACTTCTGGAGAAAAATAAAAGCAGAAATTATGTTGATTCCTTTTTATATAATAAATTCCACAGTGTATTTTCTCCCCACCTAAAGATAGAATGTATATGGTGAAATAGTTAATTTAAAATGTATAACCCTTGCTACTAAAAAATAAAAAATATCCTTACCTTTTGTTAGATGTGTCATTTTTATGTAGCCATGGAAAATGAGTGGCATCTTGATATTCCATTGAAATTATTAATTTTATTTTGGAGCATATGTTAGATTTTGGAGCATCATACAGAAAGGTGAATGAGTTTTATTTTTCCTGATTTAGTTTTAAGTACATCCAGACAAATGAAAATAGATAGATAGGAAACAGAACTAATTTGGAAGATTGAGGCTCAAATTAAATTAAACCAGCAATAGGAACAATATGGAACTCTGAATCAGGAAATGAAGCCAGGAGTGAATTCAATTTTAAATAGTGGTTAGTTATAATTAAACCTCAAATATAATTTGTAAATCGTGAACTAGATCACTGAATGGAACATATAACAACATTTGTGTTTTGTGTCTTTTGCTTTCCCATCCTCAACTCCTATCCTAACATGGCTGTTTTACCATGGAAAGCCAAGAAGATGGGTTAAGACTATGTTTTAGACTAAAAGAGAACACTGGGAAGAAAAATCATTTAACCAATATATTTCTAATAGATGAAGAATGGCAATGATGCCATATATGTTGCCTCAACAGAAAGAAAAGAAATCTATTCAACATAATACCTCCATTCTTTGCTAAGCCAAATGATTCTTTTTAGTATTCCAATGGCTTTACTCGTTAAATTCCATCACCCAGTAAACAGAAAGTGCAATTTGGCAATAACACAGTAATAACTGACATTTTTCCTATAATTAAAGAACTTGACTTTTCCTTCTATAGAGCGTGTTACATTAGCAATGCACATGTTATTTCTGTTCAAAATCTGATACTACAATTAGATGCATACTTTAGTTATTAAAATATAGTAACTGGGAGCTTTTAATCTTTGTTCAAGGGAAAGTATAGAAAAGATCAGTCTTTGAATAAAATTTGGGACCGCATTAAAACCCATTTGTCTCATAATTCTGGGTTAGGTTTTTATTGACCTGTAAAGTAACATGACATTTTAGAAGCTTTTGAAAATTTATTTTATCTATGCAAAAGTATCACTGATAAACATAAAATTGAAATATACTCTAATTTAAACAGATTGTGAAACAGAAGTAGTGAGAAAGCTACATAAATAATAAATAAATTATAGAGGAGTCAGGATTAGTCACAAAGTGAAAATGAAAGCTCTAATAATGACAAGGTTGTGAACAAAACATTTAAAGAAACTGTAGAACATGTAGATTGCATATCACAGTTTCCGTTTTGTATTTTCTGGGCCTCATTTTATTATAAAATTATGAAATCTATCTTAGTAAGTGTAATACTGAATTGAAGAGAAATGTTGCCAAAATCATCTTCCAACAAACACCAATCCTTTATGTTCATAATATAACTTCTCTTATTGTTAAATGTTCTATTAATAATTTAATTCTTCAATATGTACTGCTGTAATATCCCAAAGTTAACTTTACTTGATTATATAAACAACACATTTTATTATTAGATCTTGCTTTTCACCTAGAGCATTTTATTTTTATATTACTTCTAATGTCTAGAGAACAGTTGAAGATGTCTAAATTGATCATTTTTTATGGAATACATGGTTTGTCATGAGCAACATAAATAAATACATTAATTGCCTTATCATACTTTTTATCTGACAGATGGGTCCCCAGGCCCAGAGCCTAACCTTTTATTTTGACACCTTCCACATTTTGCCAGCCCTGGCCCTTTTTCTTTGCCAGAGTGTCACTGTGCCGTTCACCATGGTTGCACTAATCTCCAGTTTTTAAAAAGCATAATGTTGGAACCCTTCAGAGAATCACTGCTATCAATCAGCTGATACTACAACAGCAAGCATTTCACATATCCATCCAACATCACTTCTCTCCTGTGATTCAAACACATTTTCTCTTGTTTCTATGACCTACTGGCTCAATAAGATTACATGGAACTTTTTAAATCTAAGGCCCCATATTGTTAACATCTGACACAAACCATTTCATTTAGCAATAATTTAAAATTTAGAATTTTCTGAAAAGTAAAAATCAGAAGTTAAATTTCAATTTTTATCTAGAACAATAATGTTTTACTCAAAGAAAATATGCTATTTTAATATAACTGAAGAGTAAAAAGCAATCCGAACACTTACATTTAAATGACTTTTAAAAAGAGCACAAGGTGATAAAACATGTTTTGAAAATCACAGTGCACCCAATCTCAGACTTGCACCTTTCATTTCTGGTGTGACTCCAGAAGCCTCTCTCACATATTACATATCTAGATGCTACAACTAAAAGTACATGTCTGGTCCATTAAACGGTGGGTTTCTTTTTTTCTAAAGAGTACTGCAAATCAGAGAACATACACATGGATGGTGAATTTTGGAAGCTCATCTATTGTTGTGGTAATTCGGTATAAATTTTAAGAAATTCACTCAAGCAAAATCAAACTATAATTATGACAATGTTGCAGTCAATCTAGATATATGGGTTTATAGGAAACAGATTTTGAGTAGCAAACAGGTAGTTCCACTTGACCGACACAGTTTGCAGTTTGGCTTACAATCTCATTTCAGAGATTTGGATGCCTCTAACTTGTCTTTCACAATGGCATTTATTTTATTTTATATAATGTGAAAAGTCAGATACTAAGTTTTGGTTAAACTAAATATTTTTTAATAATTTAGAAGACCATTTTATGCCAGCTAGAATATATATGTTCATTGCATAGCAACTGGTATCTAATCTATAGCGTAGGACATTCAAGGAAAATGTTGTTTCATGCTGGGGTTAAGGGCTTTTAAACTGTCGGTAATTACAGTGTTAGGACAGCTTTATGTACCTCAACATTGGCAGTTCTTTAATGTTTAGTGTTGAGACTATTAATATGACTTAGCTGTATTGCACATATTCCTCTTTCTGCCCTGACCTAACATAGCTTTCACAGATTACTCAGAGTTTCTGCTAGCTCCTTTTTTTCTTTTTTTCTTTTCTTTTTTTTTGGTACTGGGGATCAAACTCGGGACCTTGTACTTGAGAGGCCGGTGGAGGCAGCACTGAGCTAAATCCCTGGCTTGCTAGCTCTTACTTTAAGCATATAAAATAACATACAATGTCCTTAAAATCCTTTCTTCACATATTAGATCTAAATCCAATGACAAAAAAACTGATGGGCCCAGCTATGTTTTCCAACCTGGCCCAAAAAGCCAGACTATCCTTTGGATCCAAATAATGGAAGGCACAGATCATGTGTGAGTAAGCATGGCAATTAGGTGACCAACATTCTGGATGAAGATAATTCTCTTAGAAGAGATATACCATGATTGACAAGACAATACACCAAGCGTCTGGGACTGGGCTTCATCTATGTGCTATTTTATCCATTCAAAACAATAAGCCCGTCAAGGATAACGATTTATGGCCGGGGATTTAGCTTAGTGGTGCCACTGCCTGCCTTGCAAGCGTAAGGTCCAGAGTTCAATTCCCAGTACCAAAAAGAAGAAATTAAAGGATAACAATTTAGGAGCCCATACAGTTATTTGTAAAAAAAAATTGATAGCTGTTAAATCTAACAAATTTGAAATCGTGTTTTGCTCAACCTATTTTAAAATTTTTTCTAGTAATTCAATTATATTATATTACTAAAAATAATGATTGGGAATCAGTGAGAAATGAACTTTCACTACAAATATTTTGAGAGTCACTGGATTAGAAGACTTCTAAACTCACGTGTGCTGTTTCTCTAACCAATTAAATAATAAAATCAAATCTTTATGGTCAAATTCTTATTCTGTGAATATCAGATTCCTTCTTAAAAAATGACTGTAATACCAGTCACTCACTCTTTCAGGGAATCATCAGTTATGAAAAAATAGATGAATTTTGAAAATTTGTAATAAGTTCATCAAAATTAAATTACTACATTTCACTGTTATTGAAGTCTTTTTATAAAAAAATATACACACATTACCTGTAAAATTTAAGAATATATATTCAACTTTATCAGAATAAATACATGTATTTTCAATCTTATCATGTTCCCATGTAAAATGCAAGATATAGAAATATGAGGGGTTTTTTTACTTATTTCTGTAGTATTCACTACTTTTTACAAAAGAAAAGTATATATTTAATAAATTAATGGTACAAATATTAAAGACTAAAGACTTTGTAAAGATTTCATGCCATGGTGATCAGAAATTTATAGCACAGCTATGATTTATATAATATTTTTGAAGAAAGATAATTGATAAGATAATGGATAAGATTAGGAAAGAGATGAAGATGAACTCAGTTATTGTAGGAATAATAAAACATTTAAGTGAAAGCATACAATCAGATCATCTCTGTATATATGTGTAAACAAGTGTGTTTTGATACATAAACGGATTGAGAAATGTCAGAAAATAAATGAAATTAGAAACATAAGTAAAATGTAAA